ATCGTCCAACTGTACTGACACCTAGTACATAATCAAGGCCGTCCTAATTCAATTGATTGTTACAGAGATATGGCTTATAGCTAAACGAAACAGCAAATCGGATTGTAGAAACGCCAAAAAATTGGAAGTGATCACAAACTCACTTGCGCTTGCCAGTGAACCGCCGAGTGCTCGGGTTCTCCGGCATCCCAATTGGTGCCTCCCAAGAAAGTCGTGACGTAGGTATTCCTCTGCCTTCGCATCTAGAATCACAGACACTTTGGTCACCTCCAGAATCATCTTCTTTATCCTCCATTTTCTTATTATTCTCCTCATCCGGCTGTTTGAATCCATTCTCGTTTACATCACAATCCACTAGAGCACCTTGCCTCACAGAGCCGGCTGTAGCTGTACCCTTGTTTGATCCACTTTCTCTCCAAGTCCTTTTTACTTCTAAACCATTTACTAGTTTATCAGGGTTAGGGTTATCCCCGGAGCCCAAACGTCTTCTGTCTCCAGTAGAATAATTAGCCATAGCAGAGTCAGCAGTTTTCTGATCCCCTCCCATCTTCTCCACAGCTAACTCTTCCTCACCCTTTGCCTCATCCACTTCCACCCTGCCGGAGGGGAGTGACGTCGGACGGTTCTCCTGGCCTCGGCTTTCTGCAGACGATAGCAAGTGCCAGAATAGATAGTCAGTTTCACCAAGTCCCGACTTTTCTGCAGTTTCAGAAGCTATCACCCCGGTACTCTCTAAAGATGGCATACCGCCCTGCTTGCAACATGGAAGGGGACGCAAGCAGTAGCGGTGAGAGCGACTATCGTCATCCTCGTTAACGCTGATGTTTTCATTACCATTTAGTCCTAATCGAGCCGTCTGACAGGATGTAACAGAAGAGATTATCTGTTGAGCATGATGAGTCGAACTCTTATTAGATTTTGGGGAAATCGCAGGCAGTCGATCGGGAGAAATAGAAGTGAGGGTACCAGGCTTTGCTGATAGACACGAACTAGAAGATGAGGAAGAAGTTGATGAGACAGCGATGGAGCCAGGGTTAAACAAAGAAGATATAGATGGAGAGCATGTAAACCAGTTTAAAGGCGAGGTTGGGGAAGCCTGAAGAGGATGTGAGTTCGTGTGTGGTCCGTGTGAAAACGCCAAAAGTTGGTGCGGCAATGTAACTGGGCGAGAAGAGGGCAATGGTGATGGTTTGGGGCCACGGCTCATTTTACAGGACGTGCGAACTAGAAGCCTAGACAATCGGGTATAGAAAGTTTATAAAAATAAAAAGAGTAAATTTAATGGGACGATGAAGCTAAAGTAACAACAATTCTTATGCAAATAGTAGCTTAAGTACCCGAATTTTTCGCTTACATCTTCTTAGTCGTGATAGAGATTAGAGTGATTATGGTGTTAGAAATTAAGTTAGTAATGATAGTTGTTACCTTAAACACAAATTATCGTTTATTGATTTCTATAAAAAAAATCTACTGTCCAAATTTTGAAAACCAATCTGAGAAACAAAGATTTTAGCCAGGTAGTCAATATTTCATGTAGGTCTAATATCAACTGTTAAAATAACATCCTATGTATATATCAAATAATTTCTTCTTTAGAGATTTTTAGGAATATAAACTTGATTGGATGACAAGATAGATGACACACTCAATTGTATCAAAGGTCAAGTGCATCTAGGTTATACATAATCAAAGTAATATGTAGGCCTTTTTCATTCAGCAAAAAATTATGATGGTTGAGTAGAAATACAAAAAATTGACGTATCTGAGTGATTTGACTATTTCTATTTTTAATAAAAGCCTAGAGAC